CTGCGGATCCTCGGTTTTATATGTACATCGCCCAACTGGGCACGTAACACACACACACCACACACACACAGAGAGAGAGAGAGAGAGAGAGAGAGAGAGAGAGAGAGAGAGAGAGAGAGAGAGAGAGAGAGAGAGAGTTGACATTGAGGTTTGGTGACATTCGGGCATAGCCCAGTTCAGTGACATTGCGATTTGACATTGTATGAGCAAAGACATTGGAGATACATTGGAGACTGGGTTCATCGGGCTATGGTGGCTGATCCTCCCTATCTCCCTCTTCCCCCTTCATCTCTTCTCCCTCTTTCGTCCACGTATGACCGGACTCAGCACATCCTTCTATGATTGCACGCTGAGTAGCCTGCACTCTGAGCGAGGGTGTGTGCTGTCAGGTCCTGTCAGTCACATCTTGGTATTACAGTCTTCTGCTGTGCTATTTTTGTATCGTCTCTGAGAGGTCGGCTCCCGGGTCTGACTGATGCAGATTAGGCATGCAACATCTTTTCTCTGCTACAGCCATACCTGTCCAGTCGAAGTCCATATTCAGCTGGTACCCCAACAGGGGCCTTCCCAATGCAGCGCCGATCAGGAAGGTTAAGTCCACAATAGCCAAAGGTAAGCTTCCCTCCTCTCCAACCTCTCCATGCGACATCTCCTCTCTGCTACCGCCATGCCTGTCCTCCAGTCGAAGTCCATATCCAGCTGGTACCCCAACAGGGGCCTTCCTGATGCAGCGCCGATCAGGAAGGTGAAGATGCAAGTCCACAATAGCCAAAGATAAGCTTTCCTCCCCTCCAACCTCTCCATCACCATAACCCGGCTGGAAGGCCTTCTACCTCTACCTCCATAGCCAAGGGATTCTCATACCTCACCCGTCTACTCCATGGCCGTGGAGACTTCTCTTTCATCCTCAAGCTCCACTTCACCTCCATGATCTTTGGCAACCTCTCCCTCTGGCCAGAGCAGCAGCACAACTGTTCGGCAAGTAAATAAGAGATCTGCTCTACACATTCCACCAAATCATATACATCGGCTGCCTTGCCTCCATTACATCTTGGTCGGCCACTTACTGCCTCTACAAGGACTCTCTTGGGTACCCTAGGCTTACAAGGTGTTCCTCCTCTTGGCAGGAATATCAATGCAGACTAATATCAACCTGCAGACCCTGAACCTAGACTTCTACCGGGTTACATTCAGGCCCTGGAAGGACATTACCAGACACTTTCAGGTCCAACCAACTTCCTGGAAAATCCCTTCCGGATCTGTAACAAATTCTACTTCTGTCCCTGGTCACACTCTCTCCCCAAGTTTCTGTCATGTCCCTGACCGTACCCCTATCGCTATTTTGTTCCTGTCCGAGGCAAAGCCACACAGCACAGCCAACAGAGTTAGCACACACACAGACTTGGACTCAGTCAAACACACGGCATACAAACAACAGCGGCAGATGACATGCACACTCAGAAAACACAGAAAAATACCTCTGAACAGAATCAGACAGAGAATCCTCAGCAATCAAAAGGTCGGCATTTTCTCAAAGAAGTGCAGAATTCTCAGACTGCAATTGTGCAGGGCATTGCAAGGGCCACAGGCCGAGAGGATAGCCGGTCTGGAATGCTGCTGGTATAGGTCCATTGGATAGCTGGCTGAATGTGCAAGTAGTCAGGGAGCAAAACATACCGGAAGATACCGCACTGTGTCCTTCATCACAAGCTCATCCACCAAGGCAAGTATGTAGAGTGTGTTGTCCCGGCATGGTTGAGTCATCAGCGACACCTGGTTCGGGCACTCTTGCAGCACAGATTCCAGAAGGTCTGCCAAGAGATCATGCATGACAAAGAACCCCTGAAGGATTTCCTGCAAGATCGCCATCAATGAGCAAAAAATAATTGAACAGATTTCTGATATAACTTCAACCGATGTCTGGGAAAGGCGAGCAGAAAACAATCGAATGGAATTTTTTGTTGACTCGCTTTGATGTTTGGGAAAGGTGCACCTCTGAAGTTCGCATAGGAGCTCCTGAATGATTGTTCAGTCATGGCAATTCCATGCACTTCATAAGCATGAGACAAGAAAGGTGGAGCCAAGCACCTTCAAAGAGGACTTAAAACAGTACACCATCATCCGACGCCTCTGCAAAGTGGCCAATGGATGCAGATGGTCAACCGTAGCCCCAACAATGATGCATGCTTTCCCGATACCAGAGGAACATTCCATCCCAGCAAGATGTCCAGCATAGCTTTCTCTATCATGGTGCTTCGTACATGCGAGAGGGCCCTCAGTTTATTGAGTGTTATCAGGAAGTGCGCTAAATTCAGAGTCGTCAAGAAGTTGTCGACAGCATGTTCAAGTAGATGGACACCCCACATGGCAAGCAACCAATTTAGTCAATTCACATGGGGAACAATGTAAAGAGCTTTATGAAGTCGTAGCACCAACTGACGGCACGCTGATAAATAAACGATTGAAGTGACCCACAATATATGACACTCTGCCCCAGATCCCGCAGACAGTGAATTCCACCTGATTAGTTGGTTAGAATGAGTGCTTGTAGAGGTGGTGAGTGCATATGACACCCATATACTGAGGCTGGAAGAAATCCCCAGTCACCTGCATACGACTCAAAGTTTGCCACCAAGTACCAAGGGGGTCTATCTCGGTATTGGAGAAGGGTAATTCAGCAAAAGAAGTGAAAACCAGTACATGGCCATCAAAACAATGGCAATTTGAGGATAGATTCCGATAGAGTACAAAAAAGAGACGGCGGCCCAGAGCTGTTTAAAAATTTGCTGCAGGCATTTATGTCCCTTATGAATTTTAAACCATGCTTATGCCTGTCCAAAGCAACATGGGCTCTGCTAACATACCTTCTCACACAATGGTTCATCATTTCATGAGGTCCTCGTGAACACAAGAAGATACCTAAGAGCACAGTTGCTGGCACATCCTATTCACTTTTCCAGCAGCATATGTCATCAAGCCATAAGTTATTAACAAGATAAACATGACCACCTAGACAAGCTCCACCCCAGGGTAGCGATGGGCCAAGGACATAAAACATGCTCCTCAAAACAGAGCCACATCCTAGATTCAAACAGCAATGCACCAGGTGGGATCTAAGGCACAAACGTTCCCAACACACAAGGTTCAGAGACATGGCATACTGCAGAAGGCTCCCACAATACCATTGACCTCAAAAAAGCAGAGAACAAGAAAACATGGCACATCAAAAAAAAAAAAAAAAAAAAAAAAAAAAAAAACAGAAACATTGCACATTTATGAAAAGTCACCCATACCCTTTCAGATATCATGTGCACAAAGCTTATCGTCCGTTCAACATCTTTCCATCCACCCTTCTTCTGGCAAACGCAGTATGTCAGCACAGACGTGAAAACCTTCCGTATGAGACTCTCTTCCTGCATTGCTTCTGCCGCTGCATCAGAAGGCATGTCTTTTCTGGAGCTTGAGAAAAGAGCAGCTTTATCTCGCTTGCTGTGGGCATCCCCAAGTAACGAGAATAGCCATTCCTGCCAAACTGCCTCCTGCATCCATCACGTGCCATCCAATTCAGATGAAGCCCAAGACACTTTCCACTCCATTGTGCCTGACATCACACCTACTGGCATATATTCTTTTCTCTTATCTTTGCAACCAGGTCAGATGCCCTGGCAAAGCCAGGCCATTCCCCAAGTCCTGAAGGACAAATTGCCACCCATATGAGGTTCTGCTGCATTCAAATTCTGATATCCATGACGAAACAGATACTGTCATAGTTCTTTCTCAACATTAAAATAGGAACTGGGCAGGACTTTGGGCCTGACCCCACATCCATTCTGGAGAGTGTCAATCCCGTTCCTTTCCACCGGTAAGCAGGGTTGCATACATGCCGACCGCCTGCACTGACCGCTGATTGTTTGCAGCCTACCAGCAGGACCGACCGGTCGGCAGGCTGTCAACCAGTCTGTAGAGGGTGTTCGGGGGCGGTATGGGGGTGTTGGGGGGATGTATGAGGGTGGGGGGGGAGTAGGGTTATTGAAGTTTATGGACCCTGCCCAAAAAAGACAAAAAAAAACACTTGTGAGGTGCCGACCGACCACCAAACTGGTAGGTGCCAACGGGTGGAACAGCCAGCTGGCTGACAGCCGACCAATCCAGGGGCACGGACAGTCAGCGTGACTACTCTGCCGGCAAGTCGTTTAACATACAGATGTCGAGTGCTGCGCTAGCGCTAGCGCCCCGCCACCGCCAGTTCGGCAAGGCCTGGGCTGCCGGCTCGACTAGTGCCCGGGGGAATTTACTCGGGCGCTGGGCCTGTACGCGCGCCCAGCAGACGCGCATGGTGTTTTGCCACGTGGCGCCTGTTGTTGGTGACACAGGTGTCCCGCGACACGTTGACAGGGGTAGCGCCAGCCATTGAATTGTTGACACGTAGAGGTTTAGTGGCGGCAGCTTCGAAGCTATCTGCAATGATTGGGGAGGGCATGGAGGGGGAGGGCATGGAGACTTCGCTTCATAGGGGGCTGCGGGGAACCCCTCTTGATCCGCAGGTTGAGGAGGAAGTGTCCACGCTGTCCATTGTGATAACTTACAAACAGCAGCTGGAGGAGATGTATACGGCACTGTGCCAAGCGAGTGGAGATCTGCCATACGACGTTCTGCTGGAGGGACTGGAGACCTACGATGGGTGGGATGATGAACTCTATGATCTCATGTCTCTTCGACAGCAGGATGTGAATGACAGAGCGCGGGCGATGGCTGTTTTCTACGACTGCGTCGAGATGCTGCAGCAGGTCAAAGACACTTTTACTGACCTTCTAGCGAGGAGTCGTGCGAGCGGTTCGCCAGATACTGGGATACACATAGCATCGACAGTACCTACAACATCGATAACACCATTAACAACACCGATTTCATCAACACCGGTAACAGCGGCATCACCAATAGCATCATCAATAAGATCACCATTAAGAGCAACAACGGTATCAATAGCGGTTACACAGACTGAGGCCACATCGCCTACGGTGTCGATTGCTACATCTACACCAAAAACATCGCTACCTATAGAGATGGCGCCGTCAAATTGTCCTGGCTGTGTTCGGCAACAGGAGATGTTTGCGCAGGGTTCTGACGTACAGGGGTGGGAAGAGGGGCCGCCCCCTTACGTGGAGTTTGCAGATCTGCAACGACTGAGCGTGCTGAAATCGTGCGGCTGCAAGACCCTTGAGGAGGGGCAAGGGTTTGGTGGCAAGGGCGACGTGCGATTCTAACAAAATATTGACGATGATTCCGCGGACGGCTTTTGGGCCAGCAGCAGCACCGTTGGGGACGCAGCCAGGAATGACGACGTTCGTCAAAACTTAAACAACAACAACTGTAATACTCTGTGCACTGATGAAACCAACAACCAAATTGCTGCCCGCACTTGTCGAGAGGTGAGTGGGATTTGTCTGTCTTTCATTTTGCCTTTCTTCCGCTCTGCAGCGGGGGATGATTGGGGTCAGGGGCGAGAAGGTTGGGGATCGTGGTGATTCGCGAACAGGAAGGCCAAGCGGGGAGGCGGGAAGTGGGAGGGAAGCGTGAAGGAGTGGGATAGGGAGGACAGCTCTACCTTGTGTGGATCCGTGGATTGTGGTGGGTGGTTGTTGTAGGTTAGCTAATATGAATTTAGTTTTTGGCTTCGATGTCCCTCCCGTTTGCGATTCAGTATGATTTCGGTTTAGCTGCCGATTATGAAGACCGTGGGGGGATATGGTGATTCCTAGATAATTTTGGGAGATGACTTGGAGACGATTTGGAGATGACCATGGGATTAGCAATTAGCCATAATAATGGTTTTATATTCTAACTGCCGTTTCCGTTCATGGTTTTACGAAGCCTTTAATACTGCACGATGACGGATTCGAAATACGATTTTTAGGGGCAGGCTGGCAGCGACCTTTTGGTGGGATTCCGCTGCCAGAGACTGCCGATCTGAATTCTGCAACGAATGACTTGCGATTCCGGTAAGTAGGATGTGTTGCCACGTGGACACCAATTTCGGTTTTGTGTTACAAATGCGCCACGTGGCACCACAGGGGGAACAGTTGTGCTAAACAGTTGGGCTAGTTCAGGTGGTTTACTGCTGACTCTGGGAGCTGGGATCGCCATAACTCACTTTAAATCTCCCTATTCTGAAGTACCCCTTCCCCTCATAGTGCTGCATGGTTCTTCTTCACGAGATTGATGAGGGTTTCAAAATAGGAATAAGTTTTTGAATCGCAATGGGCAGTTAATCCCCTTGGAAGGAGGGTAATTGATGCTGCTCATTGTGTTGAATAGTGATTGCTTCTATGTTGACATTGCAACTGGTTAGGACGAAGGCTGTGACACGTGGCACGTTTAATGATACTTTGGATGTTTACACGGTCGCTGGACCCGATTTCCAGCAGGAGTTGCTCCCCACCAATAGATGGAGCCTTCCTGAGCGTGCTAAAAAAAAAAAAAAAACAGGTGATTGCTTGAGCCTGGCGTCCGAAGTTCCCGTACGATGAGGCTCGTTCGACTAAGCTTCCACCAGGGCTGGGTCACTAGCCCTGGTGCCTTTCACTACTGTTCGGTCCAAGTTCCCCTCGGAGGTAGGGTCATGGTCTTGAATGCTGGTCACACTGAGGTAGCATAGTAGGAATAGGAGGTGCGCAAAAGAGTATTGACGCAAGGATGGGATGGGAGGTAGCCTCGTCTCTTCAGGGCAACCAAGCTTCCAGCAACGAGTGTGAGCCTGGTCAATTGGCCTCTACAAAAAAAA